TTGGCCTCCCATGCAGAACGGTCCCCAGAGGGGCCTCCAACACGGGCAAGACGGCCCAAGGTGGCCTCCAAGTTCGCTCAAGATTGTCCGAGATGGCTTCCAAGACGGCCCCAGAGGGTCCAAGATGGCCTCAGATGGGCGCAAGATGGCCTGAGACGGCCCAAGAGGGCCCCAAGAGGCCTCCAAGACGGCCCCAGAGGCCCCAAAGAGGGCCCCCATGAAGGTGTGCAGAAGCAAAAATCATTGATTCTGGCAGAGGTGATTAAAGAATTCTGGCATTTGTTTATGGTCGGCCTTCCGACGACCCGACACGGCCCAAGAGCCTCCCAAGATCGCCTCAAGATCGCCCAAGAGGCCCTCAAGATCGCCTCAGAATGGCCCAAGAGGCCCCCAAGACGGCCCCAAGAGGGCCCCAAGAGGCCTCCAAGACGCCAAATATGGCCTCCAAGACAGCCCTGGCGCACCCCCAGAGGGCCCCAAGTCGGTTCAAAGAGGCCCCCAAGATGGCTTCCGACAGCGTCAGGCGGGCCAGGATCCTTGAGACGGCTAAAGAGGCCCCCAAGAGACCCCCGAAGGCCCCCAAGAGGCTCAAGGATGCCCCAAAAATGCCTCCAAGAGGCCCCCAGAAAGCTCCCAGGAGGCACCACGAGAGCCCTTCAAGATCCTCCAACCAATGATCGAGGGTGAGCCATGCCGCAATACCGCCCCCAGAGGCTCCCAAGATGCCTCCTCTTCCTCCTCCTCCTCCTCCTCCTCCTCCTCCTCCTGATTTTCCCTGTCATCCTCCCCCAAGTACTCCCCGAAGGGTTTCCACAACATCTGGGGGGAATACATGGTCCGATAGCTTGGCAGAGCTCTGGCCACAACGTTCGGTCACATAGGCGATTCCAAAAGGCAGGCGGCGGCGGTGATTCGCCGTAGGCATCTTCGATAGGAATACATAGGAACTTGCTCTCACGAATACGAAGAAGATCATATACATGATGCGAAGGCAGTCACGGAAAAGCGCAATGTTGTATTGGGAGCCTCCTGGAAACATTTTGGGCCGCCTGGGCGCCCTCCCAGGAAATGTTGGACGCCTCTTAGATGCCCCGATGTGCCCAAGAAACCGCATTGGGAAACCCAGCGGAGGCGGGTGCGCACGTTCTCCCCGACAACAAAGAGGCCGCGACCAGTTCGTAGATATCGGCCGTGGTCGGTCGCAGCGGAGCGCCCCGCAAGCGTGGTCCAGGGATATCGGTCGCTGTCGTTCCCGCGTCGATCGTGGCCGACCGCGCTGAGATAGTATGTCAAATGTGCGTGTCATGTTTCACGTCCCTCACCGTTTCCACCACCGTCATCATCGGCATCATCGTCATCATCGCCATTGTCCGCATCACCATCCGCATCATATTCAGCCTCATCACCCTCGGCATCAGCAGCATTATCATCATCAGCTGCATCAGCATAATCATCAT